TGACATACTTTTTTCTGAACCATCGATTTCTTCATCTTTTCAGTACAAATCACCATACCATACTGATTGCTGACCTGTTGAGCGGCTAAGGCTTGAATTGGAATATTTAGACTGTAATTTGGTGGTGCAGCTGCTGGTCTTCCTACCTTTTCTTCGGATTCTTCGTTGCTGTTATTCATGTCATAGAGTATCAACATTATGAAAGGATGCCATTTTTTTTTGTACTCGGCGACTAATAAATTCATGTCGGGTTGGAAAAAAGGCTCCTTCATTCATTCATAACAACGCTAATAGGTAGTAGTAAGCCAATGCAATCGGTGTAGCTATTAGCATGCCCATTAATACCCTGTAAGAAACGGATGAGTAGTTTTAACCCTTTTGGAAGTTCCAAGTATTTGACATGGTCGTATAAGAATAACAAAGTTTGATTGGTTAATTACCCTGTGCTGAGGATGTCGGGATGTACGTGATACTCCTTGGCAAATACAAACGGAACGATTCCTTGAGGAAGCGCTGCCTGTAATTGCACAAAAACTCAAAACATCCACCAATTACATTTCACAAAGTCCCCAAACAAAAAGGTGATATGCTTAATTTGCAACCCCCAGAAACCACAGAGCAAAGTAACATTTCACCTGTACAATGGCTACTTTAAACGATCTTCCTCGCAATCCAACAGCAATGGAGCATCCTGCCATCACAACTGGACCCACCACAAACCTCATTGCCATGGCTAACAATGCTTTTCGGGTCCCGCATGCTAGTATACCCGTCTGTGAAGCCATGAAAAGACCTAGAGAGACAGCCAAGAATCGGAAGTTCTCAAGCAACAAGTGTAAACTGACATCATTTTTGAAGATGATTTATTTTACAGTTTACTCATAAGCTGAACATTGCCATTCCTAGTCCTCCGTCCGACAGTACAGTTATCGATCTGTCAACTATCTTGGAAGCTGTAGTCCCCACCTGCATCCAATTCAATTTCTTTTTATCGATCATGGCGAGGCTAAATATATAACAGATGCATAATGCTTTGAGTGACATTCCGTTCTGAGGTTACCGTAGATTTAAGTAAACCAATCCTGCTTTAAGCTAATTACCTAAAGTGTATGCATGCCCAGACAAGACCGGCCAGAGTTCCATGAGTATTGGGATTGCTTATGAGCTTCCGTCCGACGGTAGAGAGGAGAAGCGCAATCTTAGACTTTTTTCCTTGGCTGTTGTTAGGTTCATCCTCTTCTTCGTCTTTTTGTGACGCTGCTTCTGGGGCCTCTAGCTCTTCTTTGGTATTTGGATAGACCAAAAAAGCTTGCACTTTAAACTCGCGGTCAAAAGAAATTAAAAGGACATCTACCTTGATTTTCCTCCTCGGAGTCTAATTTATGCCATAATAATGTTTGCCTAGTTCATCACGCTTTTGATTCAAATCTTTGTTCACATTTGAATCGTTGATATACAGAATCAAGAACATTGATGCATACATAAAGGACTACACTAGAGGCGTAAGCATGTCGCAACAAGGCAATAAACGTGGGAATTAAGATAAATTTTGTGGGTCCAGCCACTATCTTTTTTTTTTTTGAAGACTGAACTATAAATACTAGTCTGCTCTATACTACTAATATTTTTCTTTCGATTGTTCAATCTGGATGAATGCAGCCTACTATTTTTTCTCTTGCTTGCTCGGGAAAAAAAAAATAAAGTTAATGAGAAATTAAAGGGGTTTATTCTATAAAAAGTGGGTGAATATGTGGAGATCATAGATGAGTATATATTCTATGCGTTTTATTCTTTACGTATACCTGAAACTGTTGATGGGGGAGTGGCGTCAACTCCTCTCGCGGCATTGATCTCAAACAAAAGCAGTAAAAGGTTGTACCAGATTAAGCTTTGTAGCACAACTATCTGAGCAAGGAACCCCGCTGCTTCAGCTCCATACATGGCTCTCAACAGTGGGATTCCCAGGATCAAGGTATTGGGAAGTGTTGATAGCGAGAGACCTGTAATGACCCAACTCAGGCTTCCTCTGGAGTTGATTTTGGCGATGACAGCCAAAACAAGGAAGGCCAGAAACTTTTGAAGGAAATCAGCACATATGAGCTTCAGATTCATCTTGTAGGGGTTGTTGGATGAGATGACCTGAAATGACAACAATGGAATTGAGAATCTTGCGACAAACTTGTTGATGCCTGAGCATTGGTCAGCTGTGAAGAGCTTCCACCATTTTACAGAGGCATAAGCCAAGATCATGGCTGCGTATAATGGGAATATGGCTTCCACAACGTGATAGACATCAATCAGGGAAACCATGGCCTTTTCCCGGTCGGGGAATCCTTGGTATGAGGCCCCTTTTATACTGTACTTGGTTTCTTTGTTGGATTGCCAAATCTGCATCTTTCTTGAGAAGCTCTCTCAAATTACGTTCTGGATTTCTTGTTGGAACAAGGTACTTTGTTAGGTTATCCTAAGGTGTTCCCTTTTACCTGACTAGGTTACTAGCTAGGTTTGTGTCTTACAGATTAATCTATGTCTTATACCCCAGCTCCTATATATGCAAAGCATATAATTCTGCATCACATACCACGACACCTCCTGTCTTCAATTGAAGTGAGAGCATAATTGGATGTTTTAGTCATCTTAATTCAGAAAGGAGGGTTGCCCAACTTTCAGTTTGCTAATTAATGTGGTTGTTTCTTTTAATTTATTAGTTCTTTTGGGGACAAAGTGAGCTGATTGTATCAAACCTAAGCATGGATCATTATAGGCTTTAAGTGCGTGCGTGCAATAAGGATAAGATTCATTAATTGTGTTTGGGCCATACTTGTTTTAGCAATTTTTTGTATGCTGCTGTGATCCAAATTCCAAATTTCCAACTGCTACTGTTCTAGTTTCTAATCTGAATAGCTATTCCAGCGGTGTGTTTTGTGTAATCGTGAAGATTTGGGAGAAAGGGAACGGAGCCTAACTAATTAACGGTGTGTTTGGATTGTAATTTTTAAAAGAAATTTGTTACGTTTTCGTGAACATATTTATCAATCACTTTTTTCCTTCAGATATATCAAATCGCTACAGTAATTTTTTTAAAAAAATCCAAAAAATGCAATTCAATTCTTTAAAGAGCAGCAGGGAGGAGGAATAATGGAGTGAATTACGGGGAAGCAAGCCGGGGCAATGAGTAAATAACAGGGAAGAAGGAAGAATTTTTCCTAAATACGGTCAAAAGTGCGAGAATAAGTGTCCAGTGGAATTTGCTTTTCAAATGCGAAAATTTGCCGGAACAAATCCTGATTACTCTTTGCCCAAGTAATCTTTATTTTGTACCTTTTGGTAGCTTTTCGGAAGTTCCATCGACAAGATGTCGTTGACCGATACAATCAAATGCACGATTTGTTGCCTTTTGATTCCCTCCGGAAATTATCCTCTAAAATTTAAAAATTGGACGACGAAGCTTCTTTCCTTCTAAATTTTGAAATCCCTTTTTTTTTTTTTGGGTAAATTTGATTGGATGATTGCTTATAAAGTTATAGTAATACTTTGGTAAAACCATATTTGTCCTAGCTCTTTAAATCCTAAGTCTTATATTATAGTATATGATATGAATGCACCAAATTTGTATATCGTTCGTTCTTGATCATTCACGTACGTCATCGTAGACAAGTAAGTAGCTAGGTTCATTTAGTCAAAGGCATTTTTAGCCAATCTGCTGTTCATTGCCACTGGACGTTTTGACTTTTTAGCGATCGATGCCTGTTTGTTGATGCATGGATATAATTAACGGATGGACCAACCGGCGGCATGGATGACAATTTTAATTAGATCCAATCCAACAGTGCAGCCGCAAGCCTCATTTTTCCCAAATTTGGGAATATTGATAGTACGTTACATGATGATAGTGCTGGTGAAATGTACTAGTAGTATTAAAAAAATTTAAGCTAGTGCTACAAATTTCAAGAAAAAAAAATAAAATAAAATTGATGCCTCCTCCTTTTAATTAATTAAGGGATAATATCAGAAACCTCCCTTGAGGTTTCCTCTTAATATCACTTGGCACCCTTGAGATTTTAGAAACATCACTTTCCTCCCCTAATAATTGTAAAAAGACTATACTAACCCTCACTTAACACATAATTTACAACATATTAAATAAATGAAGCTCAAAAATAAAAAAAAATAAAAAAGAAATGGAAGTCATCTTTCTTCTTTTTCTCTTTCTTCCATCATTCTCTCTTCCTCATATTTTTTGGATGAATATGCATATTATAAATTATAATAAATTAAATTTTATTTATCTTTTACTTTTTGTGATTGTGATAAAGTGGGGTACTATTTATTTGCTTATTTTGAGTTGATTTTTTATAATAATTGGTATAATTTAATGGTTTGAGCAAGGGTAAAGAAGTTGGTGGAAAAAATGTAAATTCATAAAAAATCGATTTTGAACATATCGAATTAAATTGATACAAATGTATTTCCTTTCAAATATCATTTTTATTTTTCAAATTTATAGTTTTATAGGGTGTGGCATTGTGATGTAGTAGTACTACAAGAGATTGCTTTTGAAGTGATGATTTTCTTGAAGTGAACAAAGTGACTTAGGAACATTTTTATTTAGTAACTGAAAGGGTAGTTTAGGGTTTTTAAAAATTTTGTTACACAAATAACTAAAGTAAGGGAGGTAAGTGATATTTTTGAAACCTTAGGGGTATCAGGTGATATTAAGAGAAACCTAAGGGGAGGTTTCTGATATTATCCCTTTAATTAAATGACCATTTCTAACCGCTTAAGTATCTCCTCCGGGTCACTGGTGATGACGAAAATTGAGGTAGGATCATGTCTGTGTAAGTAATACAAAACATTGAAATATTCAAGCGGGCGAGACAAATGTAAGTTGTGACCGTTGGAAGAAGTGGTTCTCCCCATCTGTCGCTCAAAAGGCGTTTGTCTATCTTGTGGCGGGAGGGGGAAGTATTGCCGTTATTTAAACCAGTTTTGTTGAAGTTATGAGAGGGTGTATTTCAAGGTAAGTAGCTGTTTTGCAAGCATTTGCATACGCTACAAAAAGAAAAAGGGTCCGAACCCGAGGAATCAAAGGGAGGGTTCGACCCATATTCAGAAACATTAAGGCCCGAAAAAAAAAAGGAAAAAAAAGAAAAGGGCAGCAGGCAGCCGAGATGGGCGAACGGTTTCCAAGTTGGTTTGTGTGTTCCTGTGTGCTTTTACAATAGTGGTGGTGCCAACCCTGATCACGGCTCAAGGCAGTGGCAGTGCGGAAGAGGAGTACTGGCGAATCCGAGCAGAGGAAGCCTGGAACCACACGCTCAAGGCTTATGAGGCTAATCCCCACACCGTTATTGGGGCCTTCAATAAGCAAGCTTCCGAGTAAGTATCGTGAATATGTTTTCGGAAAACATCATCGTTGCTTTAACGTTGTACTGCTAAAGATTAAAGTGGATTGATCTGATAATGATTAGACGAAGATTTGGAAAGGCAAGACTCATAATACTATATATTAATAATATATTTTGTGAAACGTAATTATATGTCTGAAGAATCTAGCGTACGTGCATGGAGTGTAGTACCAAGCAAGAGACGAAATGCCCGGAAAAACAGCAGCACAGGATGACAAATTAACAAGCTGAACTTGCCCCCATACTGCCATACATAACGTTTTGTAAATGTATAAATTATAAACGTTTTCCAGCATTACGTACTCCAAGCGGATTCTTTCTTTAAAAGAACAGAAAGAGTTGATTTTGATTTTGAATTTTTTTTTTTTTTGGGTTTGAATGTGGTGCAGCGCTGTAAAAGAATTCTTGAGCGAGAAGAACAACACGAGGAGGGAACTGAGAGGGAAAACGTGGGGAGGAGGCTGCTTGGCTACCAACCCAATCGACAGGTGCTGGAGATGCCAGCCAAATTGGGCCGACAACAGAAAGAGGCTGGCAGATTGTGTGGTGGGTTTTGGCCGCGGCACCACCGGGGGAAAGAATGGTGCATTCTACGTCGTCACAGACTCTTCCGATGACAGCATTCTGGCACCGAAACCCGGAACCCTTCGCCATGCAGTGATCCAAAAGGAGCCACTTTGGATCATATTCCAACGCACATGGTAATCAGGCTCACGCAGGAGCTGATCATGCAGGGCGACAAGACCATTGATGCTCGTGGGGTGAACGTCCACATTGCTTACGGCGCTGGAATCACCATTCAGTTCGTTAAGAACGTCATCATCCACGGTCTCCACGTCCACGATATCCATCAGGGCTCCGGTGGCCTCGTCAGGGACTCGGTCGATCATTTCGGGATTAGGACCATGAGCGACGGAGATGGGATTTCCATCTTCGGATCCAGCAACGTTTGGATTGATCACGTGTCCATGTGGAAGTGCTACGACGGCCTCATTGATGCCGTCGAGGCATCCACCGCCATCACCATCTCAAACTCTCACTTCACCGATCACAATGAGGTGATGCTCTTCGGTGCCAGCGACAGTCAATCCAAAGATGCTGTCATGCAAATCACTGTTGCTTTTAACCATTTTGGTAAGAGGTTGATTCAAAGAATGCCTAGGTGCCGATGGGGATTCATTCACGTCGTCAACAACGATTATACTCACTGGGAAATGTATGCCATTGGTGGTAGCCAACATCCCATTATCATCAGCCAGGGTAACCGCTTCATTGCTCCTCCCGACATCTTCAAGAAGGAGGTAAGAAGAACGGTCAATTTTGGGTTGGAAAGACTCTTTTTTTTTTTTTTTAAAGTAGTACGACTGACCTCCTCGTGGGACTGAAATCAACAGGTGACAAAGAGGGATTATGCGGAGGAAGCGAGATGGAAGCAGTGGACGTGGAGATCAGAGGGAGATCTTTTCATGAACGGAGCATTCTTTGTTCAATCTGGAGATCCAGATTTTACCAAGAAGCATCCTGAAATTTTCGACGGCATAGCTCCTGCGGATAGTTCACAGGTGACTTGGATAACGAGGTTTGCTGGTGCCCTTTTGTGCAGACCTGGAAGCCCGTGCTAGTAATAACTAATCCCCGTGCGTTGCCGAGACAGCTTCAGCCATTCAATAAACAGAACCCAAAATCAATAAAAAGCCATATCTCATGTAACTTATTTTTTGAGGAGACATTGATCGATCGGGGAAAACATTGACACAAGCTAATTTTCTTTTCTTTGCTTTTCGATGGGTTTAAAATTATAATGAAAAGAAATGCCAAGTCCAGTCGGTTTAGCACTTTTCTTTTTTTTTGGGTTATTAATTTGGACATGTACTGTACTGTAGGGGGATTCAGTTTCGATTTTTGTACGAGAATGCCTTTTATTTTTCTTTAGATGTGAATAACATTGAACGAAAAAGGGAGATGAAAAAGAAAAAAAGGGCTTATATTTTGCAAGTGTTCACATCTTTTTTTTTTTTTTTGGGTTCAAGCAGATGCAGCAGGAAATTATGTTAAAACTTTTCAAACATTATTATCAGTTTAAAATTTGGCCGCCTGATATTGTCATCCAGGCACTAATGAAAAACAATCATAAGCATGTATATCCCGGAAAAATGGTGTGTGTACTTGGCTTGGGAAGTTTCAATTTATGGCAATCATATTGTTGCCTACGAACTTTCTGTCTAACTCTAAATCTGAGTGCAGTAATGGCAAATGTGTTTAAAAATCTGATACCTTCTCCTACACAAGCCTGATGGTGATTCAAGCCAGTACTAAAATTTTTAGTTCTAAGAGAAGCAATAGAAATCATCATAACCTGTCAAGTCGCCGCGGATAAAATTTATCATAATGCCGGCCGGGTTATAAGCATGCATGATACATCACTATGTTACGAAGGAAATTAATAAAGTTGGCATGACTATATTACAAACCATTCATCTTGAGTTAAATTAAAATTCTTGTTTTGCATGCAGGAGTTTGGGAGAATCACCACCCCTAGATTTTAAGCCTTTTTAAGGCCTCCATATAACCAACGACAAAAAAAAAAAAAAAAACAAAAATTCCTTCTTAATTACATGCAATATATAATGGTGGAATTCACTATGCACCTAGCTATATAATGTCTAAAATTTTTTGATTTATATTTTGAATCACTATCATGAACATCAATCAAGTTTTACTTAACAATCAAATTAGTACTCTACATTACTCAGATTGTTGAAGGTATGGCTCGCGCATTCATTTCATCATGGTCCAATTCTATCTATAGCTTATTTGACCTCATTTTTAAATCATTGTCATGAATGTCTACTTAACAGAAGATGAAAGCATACTACAAAAGCTTAAGGTGATTATTTTCTAATTGCTCCGAAAGTTTTAGGCGGCAATGTAATTTAGGATATGCCAAAAGCTTCCTTTGAGGCTTTGAGAGTACGAAAATTTCGAATTTTTAGATGAGTGCACTCAAAATCTGAAATGACAAAGACGTCCACGTAAAAGAAGAGGTTAAAATATCAAAAATCACAAAAATGAAAATGAAATACAACTCACAAGGTACTGTGCTACTTTGAAGTTCTAAAACTAATCGATTGATAGATTAAATGATGAGATCATATATCTTCTAATTGATTGTCCAAAAAATGGAACTTAACGCTAAACGAGTAATTAGCTTTGAACAAATTTATTAGTTAAAAAAAAAATAAGAAGAAGAATAAATAGAAGCTGTATCATATTCATAATAGTATATTGGGAATATACCTTGTCATATAAAGAGTTAGGGAAAATCGTTCAAAACGTTTCTCACATTTTGCAAGATAACTTTTTTCATCCGTCATTTTTAAAAGTGTAATTTTATATTCCTTACAAATTCGCATTGATCAAATTTAGTCCCTACTTAGATTTCAGACTAGTTTTTGTCGGAATTCACCACGTACCTTGCATGTGATCATTTTTTAAGGATAAATTTGTCAAATCAAATTTTACATAATTTGATTCATAGTTTCTCACATTTCACAAAATGAATTTTTTCATCTCTAACATTTTACAAAATGAATTGTTTCGACCCTCACATTTCACAAAATGAATTTTTTCATCTCTTACATTTTTCAAAATGAATTTAAACTCATGTAAATATTTATTTGATTTCATCTGAACAGTACGAATAGGATGTAATATATTTCTATTTGATTTCACCTAAAATAGCAAATCGTAGTTATACATATGCTATTCAATAGATATATACAAGTGTTTAAAATTAACAATTTTATTTTAAATCCAATATATATATATATATCTATATGATTACACCATGTGAACTTATTCAATATTTGTGACCTTTTCTTTTGGTAATAATTTATTTATTGAGTTGTATAATAAGGTCATCTAATTAATGGATTCTAATTCGAATTCTATAATTGTGCTAATAAATTATAGTTTAAATCTCTGTTTTTAAACTCGGACCGGACCGGCCAATCGAACCGAGAATAAGTCATTTGTCCGGTCCAAGTTAACTCTAAAAATCGGAAAATCAAAAATTTGGTCAAATCGGGTTTTGACCCGGTTTGACCAGAAAAATAAGAACCGGGATTCCACCATGCATCTCACGCAAGGAAAGGAAAGAGCGGGTCCCGCTCCTCTTGGCTCCACATGCCCAGCCAAATCCCAAAACGCAACACACGATTTTGTAGTGGAGTGTGGGACATGTATGCACAGTTGATTATTGCTACAATGCTGCTACATCCCTGGCCACAACTCCTGGCCACAACTCGCTCGCACGTGTTCATACAATATCCATAGCTTCTTGCTCCCACCTCTTAATGCATGTATATAGATTTTTTTTTTACTTTTTTTTGAAAGGTCAAAATATTTTTAATAGTATGTTTTGACCCTTAGGTTATTAAAAATTATAATTATATCTCAAATATTTTATACTTTATAAATGTTGTCTTAAAATTTGGTGTTATTTTTAAATAAAGTCCATAATTTTAATTCTAAACTCGTTAATACTCATTAAATAATATAAATTGTTACTTGATTGTTCTATTTTTTTGTATTTTCTTGTTAAATATATTTGAAACATTAAATATATATGAATATACCTTTATTAATATTAACATGTTATTAGGTATTTTACATACAATATTTTAATTTTTAAATAATTTTTATTTATGACATCATCCGGTTCAATCCCGATCGAATCCGATTGAACCCATTGACCCCTGAGCTCGACCGAGTCGATACCCAGTCCGGTTCTGAAAACATAGGTTTAAATCTAAAATTTCTATTCGCCACTTTAAGACCAATAGTTAAATTAGTTGTCTTGTGATTATTTTAAAATTTGAAAGTGTCAATCACTTATTTCTTTTTATCATTCTTTTTCTTTGTTTATTTTGTTCTGTCCAAATTTAATTCGATATAAACACTCGATAATGTTTAAGATTAAATGTCTTTTTTGTTTTCAATTTTCGAGTAAAAAGAAATGAATATGAGTGAAAAACTAATAATTTTTTAAAACCCATGTATATATCTATTTGATTGCACCTAAACAGTATGAATAGCATATAATATATCAAGTGATTATATATTACATACTATTCTTACTCTTCAGATGAAATCAAATAGATATATACATGAATTTAAAAAAAATTATTCGCATACATGGTCAATGAGTGATGAAAAATTTCATTTTGTGAAATGTGAGGGACTATGAATCGAATTATGTAAAATTTGATTCGACAATTTTGCTTTTAAAAAATAATTACATACAAGGCATATGGATTCTGACCAAAAATTAGTCAGAAATTTAGATAGGAACAAAATTTGATTAATGTGAATTTGTAAGAGATGTAAAATTACACTTTTAAAAGTGAGGGACGAAAAATATTATTTTGTAAAATGCGAGGGACTTTTTGAACGATTTTCCCATAACAATACAAAAGGAATTTTTCAGGAGCTTCATGCTTTACATTTTGTAATTAAGTTGAGGCATTAATCCTTCTGACCCCGAAAGAAAAATTGCAAACAAGGAGTTGAGGCACTCCAAAACCTCGGAAAGTGGGGAGCTTTCCCCGCAGAATCTCTCCTTCTAATCTAAGGGAATGAATCTGACGCAACTTAACCCTCACCGTTGATGACCGTTGAAAGTTGAAAACTATTTACCGTAGTAGTACAATACTTAGCGGTAACAGCATTTTTGGCGTCTTTTTGTTATGTACATCAACAAGAAAAGAAAATAAAAGAAGAAAACAGACACACACACAAAAAAAAAGGCGAAAAAAGCACTCTCAAGTGATGAGAGGAGCGACCTAGGATTGGCTGACCATGTTTCACGCTCCTCAGTTTTCTAGAATCTGTGGTTGAACCAACTTTCGAGTAGTTAAGGCACCATATTAAGCACCAATCTTGTTTATAAAGGGAATTCTCTGAATGCATATAATCCAGGCGAGTTTGATCCTTCAGGCTGGTCTATACAGCTCTGATCCCAGAGCACAAAGGGTTTCGGCCCTAGACCATTGCCACCACGTTTATGCACAATCTAGGACACACACATATATATTTGACATAGGCTTCTTCGATCTATCTCAAAACTAACCAATTCTCCCAAGATTTCGTGCTCACAAAAGATCATGGGGTCATCTGAACTCACCAATTGCTTTTTTCTCCTCTTCTTCGGTTTGGCTTCAGTTGTTCCCGCACTGACTACAGCAAATGTATTTGTACGTGATGAAGGGTGATTTTCTATTCTTTTCTCCTTTCGTGCAGTACTATATATGCATCATATCATTTCTTTTCTTTTAACTAGCCCGCGGACCCTCGACAATAATTGCAGTATGTGTACATACTTACAATCATGCATGCCAATTGATCACTGATACGTACGGTGCCTGATACATACACATGTTTGCAGGGCTTTACACCGGTTTCATGACTTGATGCCATTGAATGCACCATCAGAAGAGAGCTCAGGGGAAGGAGATACAGAGGGCCATGCATGGCCACCAACGTGATTGACAAATGCTGGAGATGCGACCCCAACTGGGCTAATAACAGGCAGCGGCTGGCAGATTGTGCCCAAGGTTTCGGCCGCGCTGCCAAGGGTGGCCAAGGTGGCCCAATCTACGTGGTTACTGATCCCTCGGACGATAATGTGGCTGAGCCAAGACCAGGCACCCTCAGGCATGCTGTGATCCAGAAAGGGCCACTGTGGATCATATTTGCTCGAAGCATGACAATTACCCTTTCTCAGGAATTGATCATGCAGAGTCACAAAACAATCGACGGGCGCGGTGTCAATGTCCACATTGCTTATGGCGCTGGTTTCACCATCCAATTTGTGCGGAATATCATCATTCATAATCTTCATATCCACGATGTCAAAACAACATCCGGGGCATGATCAGGGACTCCGTGGATCATGTT